CCATGCTGCTAATGACAAGATGCCATTCTTCTTTATGGCTGAATAATCCTCCATGGTGTATAGGTACCACATTTTCTTTATCCACTCACTTGCTGATGGACACCTAGACTAATCCTGTATCTTGACTATGACTCATAAGTTTTGTTTTGTTTTTTTTTCCCAGCAACAACCGAATCTCTGCAACAGGAGCCCGGCACCTGGGGTTGGGCCTCTGGGTCAACCAGACACTGAGGATTCTTGTTGTGAGTGCTAACCTCAAGAGGGAAGCCTCAGCACAGACCTGCCCTGTACCTGTCCACACAAATGCCTCCTCTACCACATCACCAAACCCAGGGCCACTAGATGGGTGGCAGTGTACACAGACTCCAGACCCCTGATGGGGTCTCTGGGAGGGGGGCCTCCTGGATTACTTTTGCAACTACTTCTTCCTTTTGCCATTCAGTCTCCCACCTCTGGCCTGGCCCATGCTGAGATTCACACTCCTCTTCTGTCCACCTATCCCTCCTAGCACTATGTCCTCAACAACACCTTGCTGACTTTCCTCCTCTTCCTTTTGGGGTGTTCCTCTGTGGAAAGTTGCCAGAGAACCCCTCGCTTGGCATTCATCTCCCCTGCTCTTTCTCTTCTGTCCTGGAACCCAGGGTCAATGCAGGTGGATTGGTTTGCCACTGCTCAGACCTACCTGAGGCCTGTGTGCCTAAAGGGAGTTGCCTTTCTTCAGAGTTGCAGGTGCAAAGAGAGCCACTGAGCAGGGCTCAGAGTGGAAGATGGAGAAGGGAGGGAGCCAGGCAAATGTGGAGAAAAATCTCTGAGGTCTGCTGAATCAATAGCTTGTGCTAGGGGACAGTATCACCAGCTCTGGGGACAGGGTTGGCATCTGGCTCTGCTCCCCATCTTCAGCCTTCCCAGGTCTTCTCTCATTAGCTTTCCCACTCCTTGCCCCTCAAAAACTGTGACCTCTCTCCCAAGCTTACATGCACCTCTCCAGCATTGACAGTCTCCTAATCACAAAGAACTCTTGAGAGTTCGTCATGAATGCTTCACCTCCTTCTAGGGGTTGCCTCTCAGTGGGAGAAACCAAGTCAGAAGATGGGGGCCAGAGCCTGACCCATGTCTCTTCCCCACACTTTCCCTCCAGTATCCCCTCCAGCAGAGTGCTCAGCCTGTTGGGTCTTCCTTTTTTCCCTTTCTCAGGTTCTGTTAAGCTGTTAGTTTTCCCAGTTCTGTCCTTCCTTCCCATCTGCTGCCTGATGATCTTTCTAAAGTGACACATGCCCCTGTCACTTCCTGCTAAACCTTTCATTTCTGATAAATTCAAGCTTTATACCTCATCAATCATAGCACATCATGGGGATCTGGACTCTTCTAAACCCTGCTTCCAAGTTCATTGCTCTTCAGAATTTGCATGCACACACACACACACACACACACACACACACACACACACACACAGGATACTATTTCCCACCTTTGCTTTTGCTCCTGTTGTTCTTGCTGAAATGCCCCTATCCATCTTCTACAACTGTAAAGCTTGGTTCTGGGGTTTTACTCTCCAATGATGACCTCTCAGGTGGTATTGGCATGCACCCTTGCATTGAACTTACCACACTGAATTTACATTTCTTTTGCCTCACCTTCCCTGAGCAACTGAACTCTTATTTAAGAGTTTTTTGTCTGCATCTTTGGCTCCCAACATAGAGCTGAATAGGTGCCTTGTCAGCATCCACTCCATTCCTCTCTTGCCCAGCTCAATATCCTCACCCAGGGCAATATGTCACACAGAAACACCTGTTGAGTTGAGGCAGTGGGGCTTCCTTCCCACACTATGAGAAGTGCCCTCATTCCCTTGCAGGTTGCTCTCAGCCTACTTGGACTCAGCTTCTCTTAGTTCTGTGTTGTCTTTCTTAGGTGTCCAGGAATCCCATGCAAACTGAAGGCTGCTCTCATCTCCTCAAGTCTGTCCGGGACAATCCAGCATCTGCACTAGAACTGCTAGATTTCTCTGTAAGAGCTTTTTCTAAGCCATTTTCTGATCCTCCCAACAACCCTGTTACATCTCCATTTGAGAGGAAAGAAATGGGGATTACAGAAACAAAGTGCTCTACTCAGATACACCAGTGGCAGGTGAGAGTTCCAACCCAGGTCTCAATGCAGGTCATGACACTACTGCAACTCTGCTCCCACTCTGGGCTGGCATCTGTAGCCTTGTCTGATCTTGGGCCCCGACTCTGTTCTTCCTTGGCTGAAAGAGCAGAGGTGGAATTGGGGGGCACCATGCTTAATATGCATGGATGTTTTGATCTGCAGGTTCAGCACTGGGCAAGGGTACCCTTCTTCCCTCCCCAATCCCAGCCAGTACTGCCTGCAGGTGGACTGCACTGCTGGAAGATTCATTTGTGGATTTGTGTGACAGCAAGGGAATCAGAACCCACTTTTAATGCCAGTTTAATTTTTTTCCTGTTTTCTTTCTTTTTTTTTTTTCTAGTTGGATAGTTTGCCTTTATTTTATTTGTTTATTTTTAAGTGGTACTGAGGACAGAACCCAGGGCCTCACACGTTTTAGGCAAGCGCTCTGCGACTAAGCCACAACCCCAGCCCAATTTTGCTTTTTTAGTATGGGAAAGAAATGTCACCCTTTTCTATTCTATGTCAATTCATCATTAAGGAGAGACTCCAGAATCACTTTGTGTATGTGTGTGAGGGGTGTGCATGCACATGTGGTGTAAGGGATGGAACTCAGGACCTCACACATGCTAGGCAAACACTCTACCACTAAGCTTTGTATCCAGCCTGACAGAATATGAAGTTTTAAAGTCTGGTTACCAATCAATGCTCATTCTAACCTAGATCATTTAATCCACACTTGAGTCAGTCATACCAGAACTATTTTCATAGTTCTGGTCTTCCTAGATTGTCCTTACAACTCCAAAGCCAGAAAATTAGACTGACTTAAAAATGTTTCTTCAGTTCTAAAAATGCTTTTCAACACTGTATCTAATTGTTCTAGAATAAGGGGGGTGGATAATATATACATTTGCCTGCCAAACTACACATTTATTCAATACAATATATGGTCATTAGCAAAGGCCTCTAATATAACAGAAATACCACTGGTTTTGCAATCAGTTCATGCCTGGAACCAAATCCTGAGTTCATCAATGGGGGATCTTGCACAAGGTTCTGAACCAAAGAATCATCACACAAGCCAGGCTCTAATGTTCTATTTTCTAGTCTTTAACTGTTGTCTTAGTCTAATCTGACTAACCCAGATTTTATCCTCAGCTCTGAGGGGAATGCTTATGACTTCTTGTAGTTGAAGTAAACTCCCTTCCAGAGTTCTGCCTTTTCTTTATGTGAAATGGGGATAATACCTGCCTTCCAGGGGCACTGTGTACATAGGATAGGAACTAGGTGTAGTGGTGTGCATCTGTAGTCCCAGTTACTCAGGAGTCTGAGGCAGGAGGCTCTCTTGAGCCCAGGAGTTCAAGACCTGCCTTGGCAACACAGAAGGACTCCATCTGTGTTAAAGATAGTAAATTTAAAATTTTTAAAGTGAAAAAGATGGGATGAGATTATAGACCCTGTAGGTAGGACTTGCAGAGAAAGGCTCAGTTAGTGTGCTAGTTCTCTTCTCCTCAGGCCTCTTCCCATGCTAAAGAGTGCCTAAAGATTAAGGTGGATCTCAAGCAGCATATACGCATGTAACTATCCCCCCACATGGAGAAATAGAGCATGCCCTTAAAAGCCCCCCCTTGAATCCCTTCCCTTTTCTATTTTAATACTTTGGGGAGTGTGAGATCATCATCTATGGGAGAGAAACTGCCCAGAGGAACTTCTTGGAGACCTTGTATACAAGTAAACACAACCAAGTTCCCAGAAAGGAAGAATGCACTGTCTTATCATGGGTTTCTCCTTAGGATATGCAGGTGAACAGAGAGTTTGATGACCTTGCTAGCTCAGTGAAGGTGATTCTTCCAGGCCTTTGCATAAAGACTGGTGCTCCCAGAGTGGACTATAAGAAAGAGTTGCTGCCAGTCTTCAGACCACCTCCACCAGCATCTGCTCCTAAATGACTTTGGAAGATGGCTTACTCATCTCCCAATAAGTCATTTCAGTTTCCACATGGTGGACTACTGGACTCTTGACACTTGTACCTTCCTCTCTGCTCCATGGACCCTGCTATAATCTAGGCCTTCCTTTGCCATCACTCATTCATGTAACACATTGGTGTGGACACAGGGTGAAAGATGTCCCTGTTCATCTTCCATATGTTCCTCTTTTAGTGACCTTGGAAGAAAAAATATGAGAAAGAGTACATATCGCACTCCCAAACTACTTGCAAAAATGCAACTTGTCACAGCCCTTTGGGAAGGCAATTGTTATTATGCACTGAGAGTCATCAAATTGTCCGTTTTGATCCAAATGTTTGTGTAATTGTTCTACAGAACTAATCAGAGATGCACAAAAAAATTGTTGCCTGAAGATGTTCACTGAAATGCTGTTTATAATAATGAAAAGTGGAAATAAGTTAAATGCCCACTAATTAAGATTTGGAACTCTGCAAATGTTAAAAGCCCCATGTCAAAAACATTGAAGAATTCATGAAAATATACATGATGTAAGGAAGTACATCAAGGTAAAAAAACTCCTATGGTTTTTGGCATTTCCTCAAAAGTTTAATCATAGAATTACCAACTGAACCAATAATTCCTCTCTATGTATATACTTAAGAGAATGGGAAATATATCAATGGAAAAACTTTTTCAGGTATTATTCATTGTAGCATTATTCATAATATCCAGAAAGTTGGAATGCTTATCTATGAGTACATACAATATGGCATATCCATACAATGGAATGTTATTCAGCAACAAGAAAGAATTATGCAGAGAACTGTGGTCTCACCTGCAATCCTAGCTACTTGGGAGGCTGAGACAGGAGGACTGCAATTTGGAGGCCAGCCTAGACAAGTTACAAAATCCTATCTCAAAATCATTTTGTAATATAAATTTTTTAGTTGTTGGTAGGCCTTTATTTTACTTATTTATTTATATGCAGTGCTGAGAATTGAAACCAGTGCCTCACACGTTAGGCAAGCGCTCTACCACCAAGCTACAACCCCAGTCCTCAAAATAATTTTTTTTTAAAGTTAGGGATGTAGCTTAGTAGAAGAGCACTTGCCTAGAATGTGTGAGGCTTTGGGTTCAATCCTCAGCACTGCACACATCCATACATAAAAAGTGCTGTGTATGTAGTTCAGTGGTAAAGTGCTTACATAGAATGTATGAGACTGTGTTCAATCCCTAGTGCTAAACAAATAGAAAAATGAAATTTATATGACAAAAATTTCTTAAATTGATTTTGGTGATGAGTGTACAATTCTATGAATATACTAAAAGCAATTGAATTGTATACAGTACTTTGAAAGACAGAATTTTATGGTATGTGAATATTATCTCAACAAAGCTCCTTTCTAAAAAAGGAGAAATTTGATACATGCTACAGGGATGAAACTTGAAAACATGTTCAATGAAAAAAGTAAGTCACATATATTGTCAAGAATATATATGTGATTTTGTTTATTTTTATATTAGGGATTGAATCAGAAGTTTTTTTCCACTAAGCTGTATCCCCAGTCCTTGTATTTTTGATTTGGAGACAGAGTCTCCCTAAGTTATTGAGAGTCTCACTAAGTTGCTGAGGTTGGCTTTGAACTTGTGATCCTCTTGCATCAGCCTCCTGGGTCACTGAGATTACCTGCATGCACTAGTACCCTGGATTGTATAATTCTGTTTGTATAAAATGTCCAAAATAAGCAAATCTTCAGAGAAACAGAGTATAGGTTGTTTAGGATTAGGGAGATGGGGGAATTAGGGGTTGGAAGTTACTGGATTTGGGTTTCTTTTGAGGATGATAAAAACATTCTAAATCTGACTATGATAATGTTATGCAACTCAACAATGTTGTAGAATCAAGCCCAGTCCAGTGGTGGGTACTTGTAATTCTGGGAAGGCTGAAACAAGAGGATCACCTGAGCCCAGAAGTTTGAGACCAGTCTGGTCAACATAGTCAGACCTCATCTCAAAAACAAACAGTAACGTGGACTGGGATTGTGGTAGAGCTCAGTGGCAGAGCACTTGCCTAGCATGTGTGAGGCATTGGGCTCCATCCTTAGGACCACAAAATGAATAAATAATAAATAACAAACAAAATAAAGGCATTCTGTCCATCTACAACTACAAAAAAAAATTAAAAATAAATAAATAAAGGTATCATGCCTATCTACAACTAACCAATTTTTTTTAAAAAAAGAACAAAACATAGAGCTATACACTTCAAATGAGTGAATTGCACAGTATATCAATTATATCTCAAGAAAACACTTAGAAAAATATTGTTTGATCCCAATTTTATTAAAAAATGTATGAATGTATATACTCAGGAAAAAAGACAAAACAGACCCACAGAAATATTAATAATGTATATCTCTAGATTGTGGGTTTATGGATTATTCTTATTTGTAGTTTTTGGCCGTTTACACACTATGTACTCCGAATGTGTTAATTTTATAATAAAAAAATATTTAAAAACACAAAGTAATACAGACTATAATTAAGTTCTGTGCATGATATTGTTGGATCTCTGAGGAAAGTGGGTGCTGAAGAGTGGATTGAATTGTGTCCCCCTAAAATTATATGAAGACCTATTCCCCTATGTGACTATATATAAAGACAGATATTTTTTTAAAATATAGTTATTTTTTTTTAGTTGTAGTTGGACACAATACCTTTATTTGTTTTTATGTGGTGCTGAGGATCAAACCCAAGGCCTCACATGGGTTAGGCGAGCGCTCAATTGCTGAGCCACAACCCCAGCCCCTGGAGACAGGTCTTATGAGGAAAGAATTATGGTTAAAAAAGGTTTCAAGGGTGAGGACATGATATAATCAAGTTAGTGTCAAGAGACCACTGAGTTTGTATGCTTCTCTTGTAGATATAATGATAATGTGGCTGTTTGCCATAATATAAGGACATGATAAGAAGGTAGCTATACAATACAATGTGAGGACATAGAGGGTGGCTGTCTGAAAGACAGGAAGAGAGACTCTGGACCTTCTAGTCTCGATAAATGTGAAAAAAAGAAATTTATTTTGTTCCAGTCACCTAGTCTATTATAGCTGAGAGATGACTAATACATAAATATGTGCTCTCCTGGACAAAAGAGGCAAAGGGAGGGCAATGGTCTTCTGGTTTCCCTGACTCAAAAGACCTCACTCTGTGACCCTCTTTGTACCAAAATGATCTTTCTAAACACACAACTGATCCCACAGTTCAGAGGCTCCCCATGTACTCACAGAAGTCTGAACTCCTTAGTTTGGTGTGTCCCATTGCACAGGATGGTACCAGAATCTCCTCTAAAGAGGGAAAGTTAAAGTCTGGTTCCATTATTTTCTCAGAAGATGCCAGAGCAGTAGTTTCCATTCTGGTAATAAGCTGGAAGTACACCCGGATTCTTCATCCCATACTTTTATCCAAAGTTCACACATACTGTGTTTTAAAGGAAATTGAGATAATCTTTAAGGGGAGAATCTGATGATGGTTCCAAAGTTCTCCAAAACGAGGAATGGGTCCTAACCCAGCTCTTCCGGGTTCAGAAAGAAGTGTTCAGCTGGGGATGGTGACTCAAGCCTGTAATTCTACTCGCAGCTACTCCAGAGATAAGGCAAGAGAATCTCAAGGCCAGACTCATTTGTGTCAAATTTTTTAAAAATTCAATAATAATAATAATAATAATGATGATGATGATGATGGTTGCAGATATAGCTCAGTGGTTAAAGGCTTACCTAGCATATACTAGATTCAATCCTCACCAATACAATATAAAAAAATGGATAAAATACATAAATGAGGGGGATGTCCAAATCCCGGCCCATTAGTTCACAGGCACTCATTGGGAATGGATTCTCTGCACCAAGAAGGAGCAGAAGAGGGTGGGAAGGGGGCATGGTGACTGTAGTAACTGCAGGAAGGCTTTGGCCTGTTTGCAAATCCTGAATAAAGAGAAGGGTGGCCAAAAGTCATAGAGCAACCAAGAAAGGGTCCAAGGCACTTGGTAATCCTCTTCTCTTTTAGGATTCACAAGCCGGGGGCTGGATATACAGCTCAGTTGTTCAATCCCCAGCACCAAACAAACAAACAAACAAAAAGATTCACAAGCAAGGGCCTTACTTGAACGATGATGTTCTGTACTCCAAACTGGTTATGCCCAGGCTGCCCCAACCTCAGGGTCTGAGGATGATCCAGAACGCAGCATACCCACAGAAGTCATCGGTGATTCTGCGACATTCCCGCCAAAGCCCCATCCAATGAGAAAGCGCCATCACTTAGAATTGAGCAACAGCCAATCAGAAATGGGATCTGGGGTCCTGGCCCGCCCTAAGGAGCTCTGAACCAATGACTACGTGGGCAGCGGCGGTTTAATGATCACGACTCGCGCACTCCACGGGTAGTTGGGCACACTGCGACAGTTGAGGTCAGGCAGAGTACTTGGGCGGCATCTGCAGAGCTCACCATGGTGAGGTCGGGGACCTGGGGGAGGTGATGAGACCAGGTGGGAGGGCATACAAAGCCCACGTGAGGTGGCCAGGGAGAGGGATCCTTCCAAACGCCCAGTGTTTGGGCCTGGGCAGGGACAAGAGTTGGAATCAGGAGATCTAGGGAGGAGGGCACATGAGCACATTGGCTAGCCTCTGTATTTTCATGCCGCGGGGGCAAGGATGGCCCTAATGGAGGCATATACAGAGTGTCCAGGGCATGGAGCCCATGCCGGTACTATCATCTTCTAAAGTTGCATTGTAAAGAGGCAGTATGGCAGCCAGGTACTTTGAGGTACTGTTTTTGTTTTAGAAAATGCCCATGGCTTAATTTTTCAGTCACTGCTAAAAATTATTGAGGACTTTAGAGAGCGTCTATGTGATTAATAGGTACAGATGCTTATTATGTTAGAAATTTAAAAAGAGAAGCTTTTAAAATATATGTTTGCTTAAAAGGAATGCATGTTAAAATAAGTAACAAAGGCTGACTAGCGAACGTTTGTCAGTTATTATTTTATTTTAAATTAGTGTCCTAGATGGCTGTCCATACTCCAGTCTACTACAGCAGCTGAGGCAGGAGAATCACTTGAGTCTGGGAGTTTGAGCAACATAGCCAGCCCCCTCCTCAAATTTAACATACACACACACACACACACACACACACACACACACAGAGATTGCTATCCCATAAAAAACTGGCAACTTCATCTTGCAGCTCAAGTGTCTTTTCACAAGGCAACTGGATTTAGTATGAGTACTTGGGCTTTTTGTGACACTACTTAAGAATAGAAATGTAATCACTTCTTCAAGGACATTCTTCAATGAAACCGATTTTTGTTTGTTTGTTTGTTTTACTTTAAGTATATAGGTATGGTGCCTTGTTTTGATCACTGCTAAGGTGATAGTACTTTTACCCATCACTGTGCCCCACTAAGAACTGGGGAGTTCCATTGAGGAATGCTTTGGGAAAAGAGATCAGCAGAAACAAAGAAGTATTGATTGGAGGAGGCGCAACTTTATTATAAAGCAAAGAAAGGAGGACAGAAGGAAGGGCAGTTTGCAGATTTGGTGGCAGGAAGTGATGTACCTGCATAAGTATAAAACAAGGTCAGCTGTCAAGAATATAGCCATAGGATTGGCCTGGGGTTTGAAAAGCTTGGTTGAAGTTTCAAATATTTTTTTCTGCAATGCGTGGGATTGAACCTAGGACTTCATACATCTTAGGCAAGCACTCTACCACTGATCTACATCCCCAGCCTACAAGTAATTTATTTTCAGAGGAGACCAAAGAAATAAGATCAGTGTGAGGTTGGCAATGCTGAATTTACATGGGATTTCTCTTGAAAGCAAGGGTGAATTATCCTGGCTGCTTGGATTTGTTTCTTTGGTTCATGGAAGATATAAGTGGCCTCTCAGACCACTGGGTGGCTCTTTTTGTTTTGTAAATGAGGAAATTAAGAGGGCTGGGAATGTAGCTCAGTGGTGGTTGACATGCCTTGCTTGAGGGAAGCACTGGGGTTCATCCCAACACAACAACAACAAAAAGAAAAGAAAAAGAAAGACAAGAAAAACAAAGTAACTGGCAGATTTGCCAAGTCAGATCTTACTGATTCAGGGTTAGCAGAATGCCAGTGAAGCCAATCTGTGAAATACAGAGTGTCTGGATTTCAGTAATGAAAAATCCTGTATTGTTGGATGGCTTCAAAAGGATTTTCCCAGAGTGCTGAGCAATTTCCTCAGAAGAGCAAGTTTCTTGCATTAAGAGGGAAATTTCTTGCTGTGGTTAAATAATGTAGAGTTTATTTGAAGTAAGGAAACATCACCTGTACATCTCCCAGAAGCAGAGCAGGTTCTGAGAACTCCATCTGACAACATGATTTGAGAGTATTCATTGAGAAACTGAAGTGAAACCTAGAGACCAACTTCATTGGCAATAGCCTAGTCAATCAAACAGTCAAGTGGTTGCAGTTTAAATGCTCACTTGTTTTACAGGTGACTCAGTCAGCTGACTCCAGGGATTTCTGCAACCAGCTAAGGCTTATTTACTCTGAACCCTGAATTGGGTCGGTCTTTTGAGCCCACTACAGGTGCCCAGTTCAAATGCGTAGCCTCCTACAAAATATCCTTTAACATTTGGCATTAGAGAAGTTCCTTCTGGAACTGAATGCTCCATTAGGGATGATGGGGGTTTGTTGCATCATGTTAATTTTTTTTGAGGCGGGGTGGAGAGGGCACCAGGGATTGAACTCAGAATAACTTGACCATTAAGCCCTATTTTGTATTTTATTCAGAGACCAGGTCTCACTGAGTTACTTAGTGCCTTGCTTTTGCTGAGGCTGGCTTGGAACTCATGATCCTCCTGTTTCAGCCTCCTGAGCCACTGGGATTACAGGCGTGCACCACTGTGTCCAGCCATGTGGATTTTTTGCTCCTATAAAAGGAAATAGTAGGACTGGGATTGTGGTTTAGCAGTAGAGCACTCGCCTAGCATGGGTGGGACCCGGGTTCGATCCTCAGCACCAATTAAAAATAAAGGCATTGTGTTGTGTCCATCTACACCTAAAAAATAAATATTAAAAAAGGAAATAGTATATAGAATGGGGATAGTCCCTCAATTTTGTTTATTCTCCTCTAGGTATTTGCAAAGGCAATGTCTTTAGAGTTGAACAAGTAGCTAGTGAGTGTACAGTTACCTCCCCTCAAGGCAACTTCATTGAAGATTGGTATTTTTGTTTTTTGAGAAGACCCAAATAGAGTACAATTGATATATGGGTAGCTTTTTCATTTTTTTGAAGGTAAAGAAACCATCAAGAGGGCTGGGGATATAGCTCAGTTGGTAGAATGCTTGCCTTATTTACAAAAGGCCCAGGGTTCTAATCCCCAGCATCACCACAACCACCACCACCACCACCAGAACAACAAAAAAGAAAGAAAGAAAGAAAACATCAAAAGACAGTTTACTTGGGAGGCTTAGGCAGGAGGACCATGAGTTCAAAGCCAGCCTCAGCAAAAGCGAGGCACTAAGGAACTCAGAATTCTCTAAATAAAATATAAAATGGGGCTGGGGATGTGGCCCAGTGGTCGAGTACCCCTGAGTTCAATCCCCATCCCCTCCCCCACCAAAAAAAAGACATTGAGGTATAAGAGCACTTGTGATATCTGGGAGTCATTATACTCTTAGATTTGAAGGAGGGGAGGGAATAATTACTAGAAGTTGAGAGGGTATCTTTTTGAAGAGTATTGACTGTTGAAAGTAAGTTGTGGTCTGGATAAAGGCACTCAGGCAGTCCATTGTAGTCTGGCATGGAGGGAGCATCCCGACTACATTTGCTATAATCTCAAGTTCCTGCCACTGCTGACCACTGGGAAAACCAACCAGAAGCCATAGGGCAAGAGTTAAGATGTCTCAGCAGTCAAGCACAGTGGCACATACCTATTATTCTGGTTACTGAGGAGGCTGAAGCAGGAGGATGGCAAGTTTGAGTCCAGGCAGGACAACTTATTGAGATCCTGTCTAAAATAAAAAATGTAAAGTAGCTCAGTGAGAGCGCACCACAGGGTTCAATTCCCAGTACCACACACACACACATGGTCTTAGCCTCTGTCCTCTAAAGTATCAGAGACAGGTAATACTACTTATCTATGAAGTAGCAGGAGGAGTAAGTAGGATAGAGAATGATATTTTGCCCTCAGCAATCTGTCTGAGCAGATGGAAGACACAGAGTGAATACCTGGGCTTGGGCCATGGTAATCTGGAACCTAGTCTATCTTTCCTTGCTTAACTCTTCATTACATTATCTGTTGCCCAGTGCACAAACTGCTCTATCTTCCTCAGTTCCCATTATAAGCCACAATAAGGAGTTCATTATTAATGTTACATGGCTTGCAGGCTTTAAAAAGAATCCTGATTTTGCGAAGAGGTTTTAAGTCCTGTGGCTGACTGTGCCACTTAACAGCTAGAGTGGCATAGAGCAATTCAGGTAGCATAGAGAACAGGGGTTGAAAGTGAAGTTTATGAAAGTGCCAGTCACTGACACTGTTAAAATACTAACTTGTAATGCTTTGCATGCTATATGGTTTCATTTCCCTTGAAGAGGAGTGGGTTTTATGTTTATGTTCTGGTTCCCAGCGCGAGTGTATCTCTATCCACGTGGGGCAGGCAGGTGTCCAGATCGGCAATGCCTGCTGGGAACTGTACTGCCTTGAACATGGAATTCAGCCCGATGGTCAGATGCCAAGTGACAAAACCATTGGCGGCGGGGATGACTCGTTCAACACGTTCTTCAGCGAAACCGGGGCTGGCAAGCACGTGCCCAGAGCGGTGTTTGTGGACCTGGAGCCCACCGTGGTTGGTAGGTGCTCATGCCCGCAGGGAGGCCTTCCTGGGAGGGTGGGAGAGCCTTGGTAAAGTCCCATGTGGACTCCTTGAATCCCTGTGCAGAAAGGAGGGATGTTGAAGCCTATGCTCCCAACATTGCTGGGTGAGGAACTCACTGGTGTGGACTGAAGGATCTTGACTGTGGGACTCAGGCACCTATCTCAGGAAACCTGCCCTGCAGAGAAAAGCTGGTAGCCAGCAGTAAGCTGGGCTGCAGAGAGATTCCCTCCTGGCTGTCTCTGCTGGTCAGGTGGCTCCCATGCACACCCAGTGCAAGGTGTACAGCCTTGGTTCCCTCCTTCATTGCCACCCACACTGACATGCTGGCATATACAGTCTTGAGCTGCCCGGAGACTGGAAACTTAAGTGTAGAACATTCATTGGGTTCCTCTAGATTGGAAGTCCTAGGTAGTTTCCCATAAGAGGTGGAAAACAAAGCACCTTTCATTGGTTCCCCCGGGACATAACAGAATACCTGTGTGACCCAGGCCACATGCAATTCCCTGATGGCACCGCCCCACTAAAGTCATGCTGACCTGGAGACCGCGGGTTTATGAGTGAGTTTTTAATTGTTCCCTTTGATGTAGCTAGGGGTAGGAAAGAAAGATGTACCTGGAGAATCACCCATATGGGCATGTGAGCATTTTGCTCTCAGTGGCAACTGATCCTGCTGGCATTCGTACGTCTGTTGACTCTACCTTGCTAGAGCCGTAAGTGGCATTTGTGTATCACACAGAGAATTTTCTTTTTTTTTTTAATATTTATTTTTTAGTTTTTAGCAGACACAGCATCTTTGTTTGTATGTGCTGAGGATTGAACCTGGGCCACACGCATGCCAGGCGAGTGCGCTACCACTTGAGCCACATCCCCAGCTCCACACAGAATTTTCAAGCGTGTGCTTTGTAGCAACTGTGTCCCTCCCGCAGCTGTGTCCACCTTATTGAGTACAGCAGGCCGGAGAGACTCCCAGATCATGGGTTTTTTTTGTAGATGAAGTGCGCACGGGGACCTACAGGCAGCTCTTCCACCCAGAGCAGCTGATTACTGGGAAGGAAGATGCTGCCAATAATTATGCCAGAGGCCATTACACCATTGGCAAGGAGATCGTGGACCTGGTCTTGGACAGGATCCGCAAACTGGTAAGAAGAGCACCAAGGAAGCTTCTTGAAGAGGTTCCAGGGTGGGGGGGACGGTGGGCCTTGGATTGTGAAGGGGAGGTCGTCTGGGCAGGTCTTAGGTCAGGTTCTGGGATCTGACTAAGTCTACAGAGTCTTCTTGTATGGTGTCTGCTGAGATGCATTGATAACCGTCTCTTGTCTGCTTTGGTTTCTGAGGGTAATGCCTGCTGGTTAGGCTCTTTATTTGAGTCCATGTGAACTTGTGAGAGCACAGAGAAGTGAGCCTGGCCTGTTGGAGTTTGGTGGTGTGTCTTCCACAGCCTTTGGCTCACATTGTGTGGTTTCTTGCAGGCGGATCTGTGCACAGGACTGCAGGGCTTCCTCATCTTCCACAGCTTCGGGGGCGGCACGGGCTCCGGGTT